GGGTTCAGCATGTGGCACCGGCCCACCTGCGGGCTGCCAGATCTGGGGAATAAAGCCCTCCTGCACACCCACGCCTGGTCTGGCCCCAGGGTTGGGCTGCTTTTGGGTGCGGGCAACCTGCCTACAATCCCTGCGGGGCCCTGGGACCGCCGTGCCCTGAGCAGACCAGGGGACGTGACTCGATCCACCTGAAGCATCTGATCTTCCACACTGGTGCGCCAGCAGCCCTAAAACACGGTGTTCCCACCCAAAGTGGGAAGAGCCGATACGCCAGCCAGGGCCCTTCACCGTTGTCATGGCCGAGGGCTGTCTGCGTCCTGTGCTGCTGCCCTCACCAGTCTTTGCAGGCAGCAAGGTGGTGGAAGGGAGAGTCCAGAGTCACGCACGGAGGCACAGCCGAGCACAACTAATCCGTGGGGCAGTTGTGGGGCTGGGTGGAGGAGCAGAGCAGGCTGAACGCCTGCCTGTGGTCCCTGCCAGGCACATGGATGACCCGTGTGCTCCTGCCCAGTTGTGAGCTGGGCCCTGCAGGCAGCCCCTGGGCAGGACTCTGCCTGTCTGTGACTGCGGGTGCTGGGCAGACACAGGGGCGCAGGCGCTTGCTGTGGGGGGGCACACGGGGCGGAAGGAGTGAGCGAGGTGGGCAGGTGTGTTGGGAGTAGTTAAACAGCACATTTCTGGTTCCTAGTGTCCAAGGGACATTGGCATGGCCGAAGCACACCACCTGGCCGGGTGCTCGGGTAGCGGCTGGTCCCTGGTGCTTCCTTCCCTGTCACTCATCATGGACTTCCCTGGGGTGGTGGTGTGTGATCCCTCTGGCCCCATGCGAGGGACACTTGAGCCCCTGCCCCAGAGTTGCAGCTGCTGCGTGGTCTGGGTCTCATGGGCCAAGCCAGTGACCACCGCTCTGTGCTGAACCTCAGCGGAGACCTGCCCAGCCTTGCCTGGAGAGGAGCAGGGGTCCGGTTAGAATAGAGCAGGATGGCTCCAGTCGGAAGGGACCAGCAGCCATCATTTGGTCCAACAGCCTCAACGCTCCAGGGCTGACCAAAAGTTAAAGCACGTTATTAAGGGCATTGTGCAAATGCCTCTTAAGCCCTGGCAGGTGTTAGCTGGAGGCACCGCTCTGTCTGAGTTGGCAGCTCTGAAGGCAGCACAGCGCTTACCCTCCCGGCCCCGTTTTTCCTGGGGAGGTGAAGGCAGAGAGGACTGTTGTCCCATGTCCTTAATGCAAGAGCCGGGGCCGTGGTGTCCCATAATGAGGCAGAAAGCTGCGGGCATGGCGTGGTGAGGCTGTGGGGCATGTGTCACAGGTTGCTGGGGCTCAGAAGTGATGGTACCAGGGAGGGAAGGTCCTGGACTGTCAAGTGCTTCTGTATGGCCTCTGGCTCAGGAGGTCCTTCAGCTAGATCTCGGGAGGCTGCTGTGGGGGGACGGTCCTTCCCCCCATCTTGGGTGGCACAGCAGGTGTCGCTCCATGACAGGGAGGGGACCGTCCCAGCACTCCTGTCTGTGGCCATGCTGTCCCCAGGCCCTGACCGTCGTTCTGTCCCTGCAGATCCCGCAGTGGTGCGCCGAGTACGCCCTCTCCCTGCAGTTCGCCCACGGCCTGGTGGCCTGCACCCTGCCCCACAGCCTGGCCGCCCTCAGCCTCTCCCTACGCGTGGCGGACGAGATGGACCTGAACCTGGGCCATGAGGTTGGCTACTGCGTCCCCCACGAAGACTGCTGCACCACCGAGACCATCCTCAGGTACGGTGATGGGGGGGGCCCCCCCGCCCCGGGCTGCCCGTGTCCGCAG